TGCAGCCATGATATTAAAAGATGATTGCCCCTTGGAAGAAAAAGTTATGACCAACTTAGACAGCATATTAAAAAGAGGAGACATTACTTTGCCAACAAAGGTCCATCTAGTCAAAGCTATGGTTTTTCCAGTAGTCATGTATGGATGTGAGAGTTGGACTATAAAGAAAGTTGAGTGCAAAAGAATTGATACTTTTGAACTGTGGTTTTGGAGAAGACTCTTGACCGTCCTTTGGACTGCAAGGATATCCAACCAGTCCATCCTAAAGGAGATCTGTCCAGAGTATTCATTGGAGGTACTGATGCTGAAAATGAAACTCCAATCCTTTGGCTACCTGATGCAAAGAACTGACTCATTTGAAAAAACCCTGATGTTGGGAAATATTGAAGGCAGGAGGGGAAGGGGACAGCAGAGAATGAGATGGTTGGATGGCTTCACCAACTCAAAGGATTGAGTTTGAGTAAACTCTAGGAGTTGGTGATGGATAGGGAGGCCTGGTGTGCTGCAGTCCATGGGGTCACAAAGACTGAGCAACTGAACTGAACTGAAAGATACATTACTTATCAGATTCAATGAATAGATTACAATAGATGTAGATAGTTTAGAAATGTGAGTTTCCGATTCTAAAGCATAGCCAGAGGAAAGCAAATCAACAACATCAAGCAACGCGACAAAATGTCATCTTTTTAATAGACATAGAACAGAGATTCTCAAGTATTTCTGACTAGCAGCATCAGTGTCACCTGGGAAATTGTTAGAAAAAGGCACTTTTAGGCTCATCCCAGACCTACTGAGTCATAAACACTGGGGGTTAGTCCTGGCAATTTGTGTTTGTAAAACCTTTCAATTGATTCTGATGTACACTAATGGTTGACACTGAAAGAATATTTTCCAACATATTTCTGCACTTCTCAGATTAGTTTTTCCCTAGATTTTTCCCCCCAAGGATATTTGTATAGCCAAGAGCTCTGAAAGACAGCCATAATAACTCTCTCCAAGATAGAAGGCAGCTTGATTCTTGACCAATATGATAAAGAAAATATCTCTTGGGGGAAGGGAGATAGGTTTGCTTGCTGCCTCCCCCCAGAAGTTTAGGGGTTTCCTAAGCATAGCAATCCTCACTGTGACATGGATACACTGTACGTCCAATGTTCATCTAGGTCTGCCTTCACATAATCTCTATGGGTTTTAAGGATCAAGAGAAGTATGAAGGTCATGAGGTCTGCTGTTCAGTAGACAGTACACTTAATGTTGACTGTTCTATGAACTTCTCACTAAGTAGGTTAGTCCAGCCTAAAGCTAAGTTTTATTAAATCTGGTATTTAAGAACAACAACAAAATGATCTTAATACATAGTGCTTTGTAGTTATAAAAGTAATAATGGGTCATATTAGTTGAGTGCTATCATGGATCATGTATTAATTATATTAAACTCTCTGGAACAGAGAAGACATTCAACAGATAGTTGTTCAAAATTAATGCAGAAATCCTCACAATGCTTTGAGGTTGAAATATAGATCCACATTTACTGTAGACCTTGCTATGTTACCAAAATATATATATATATATATATATATATAAATAGTTATATATTATGTTATATATAGTTGACTTGTCTATAGTTTATTTCAGATATAATTTGATATCTTTGATGAGGCTTTGGATTCATTGTTATTATGAGCAACCGATCTGAAAACTAATTAGGGTGGATTGCCTAAGCAGACAGTTCTCATCTATATTTTAATTTGTTTCCCTAAGTGCTATTTTCAAAAGGAAATTCTAGAGTGGCATCCTCCTTGTATGCCTTAAATAATTTTCCCTGTTTGGTCTAGATTATACATGGCTTTTGTGATCTAATTTCTTTGAGTGCGGCTGCAACAATGACCAGCTGAGACACAGCAAAGCAGATGAGTTTTGCATCTGAAAGCACAAATCCTTTCCTATATCTTCAAATATTTTTCATTCTTTACTTTTTTCTCACCTCTATTCCTTCTCCCTCCTTCTAATATCTACTTAGCTACTTTTACCTTCTTTCACACTAGCAGACAAAACTCCCATTTAACTGGCATTTTCCCCTCACTAGATGTCTATGTAGAGCCTAGTAACTCAGATATCCAGTATTACTCTGAGTAATACTTTATAAAATCCTAAGTATCACCTTGTCCCATTTCCCCTCTTTGATAACTCTAGAAATATTTAATTTGAAAATGCAACAGAGCTGTGTAATCAACTTTGTGCAGAAGAGTATTTGAACTAGAATATGTGGATTTCAGCTCTGACAATGCCAATCATATATCCTTTATTAAAGTGCTCAACCTATATGAAATTCAATATCCTCATTTGGAAAATGATGGGGATTAAACTAGGTAATGTTTAGCATCTTTTAATTTTAGATTATCTTGATTTTTAAAAATATGAATTGCATCATATCTAATAAGTTTTAGATCATAAACAGTTCAGAAATATTGATCTTCCTGTGAGTTATACCCAGAACATGAATACATACTTGTAACCCCAAAATAAATTAGACCAAATTTTTGAGGGGAATGTGAACAACAATATGATGGTGCAAAGTAAGAGGTATATATGAGGCACAACTCAGGGAGGATGTGTACTCAAGGCATCTGGTGAGTAGAACCTAGGGATGGTGCTAAATATCCTAGAATCCTCAGGACAATAAAAAGAAATCTGTCCAAAAACATCAACAATATTGAGGTTAAGAAATCCATTGCTGCCCAACTTCCTAAACTGGGGTTGCCAGTTGCTTCCTAACCTACCTGTGTTCTTTTCTCCCTAGAAAGGGAAAGTGAGCTGATCTCAATTCAATTTACAGTCTACTTTGCCTTTTCATCGAGTTTAACAGTCAAAAGAGCAAGTGATAGCCCCACTGCACAAATGAAGAGACTAAACTTTAGCAACAGAAGATGATAGAAAACAATCTATTTAATCACCAAGTGTGCTGAAGAGGCATCAAGAGTCAACCCCAGGACTGTCTCTTGGCAATACTCATGATTCAAGGCTCATTATCTACCTGGAGTTTAGAAGAAACCTGAGTGGGAGGATTGGAAGAGAAGTTTCACCTCCCTGAGATCACAGTCTCTCAAGAGTTTCTATATTGGGGTCCTTTAATGGACCGGAACCTGGTGGTACGGAGTTGACGATAAGAAAGTGAAAGAGAGAAAGAGGCTGATATCCCTTGGTTTATGCAGAGGACCAATAAAGCCCTTGACACAGGACTTGCATCGCTCACGAAGGCACCAGGCACCCTCTCGAGGGGGTGTTAGAAGCCTGGGCAGAAAAGTGAGCACGACGGGTCTCCACGCTCCAGAGAGTCAGCCAGAAAAAGACAGAGAGAGAGAGAGAAAGAGAGAGAGAGACAAAAAAAGACCCGGGGACCTAAGCTCTAATGGAGCAAAGGTGCTTCCTATGAGTATATATAGGCTGTGGTACAAGAAACTTCTTTCGGGAATGATAGAGATCAGAAAACCAAACGTACAGCAACCGTTACCAAGGGAACAAGGGGTAATGTTAGTCACAAGGTCAGGAGACAATCCATATCTCAAGAAAGGGGGACGAGACTAAGCATTTGTCCTAAAGAGAATGTTACTAAAGGAGACCCAAGCCTGCCTCACACAATGACCTCAATCCCTGGGAGCAGCGTGCTGTTCCGCTTGAAGAGGGACAGAGGACTCATGAGAGACAGCACGTAGGAATCCTCCCGTCAACCATTCCCTGACGTTTCTAGATACATTTCCAAGCGTAAAAATAATTTTAAGCTTTTTTTTTTTCAATTAAAAATGACCAATGAAAAGTTTGTTGATGCTAATATATTTTGAAAGTCAACATTACAGAAAAAAGCATTGCATTGAAAACAGTACAGAAATCATGTGGGAGAGAAGAAACTATTTTGGAAAAAGTAAATGAATAATTCTCTAAATCCAGAACTACTTTTTGTCTTCTGCCATCAAAGAAACAATTTCATTGTAAACTTCTTGAGGTGCATCCATTGCCCAGATAAAGTCCAAGTGATTGTAATTTGGAATTTCCTTGTGGTAAATGAGATTAGAGAGCTTTGAAAGCAAAATATAAACATCCTGAGGGTCAGCCAACAGGTCATTGCCACCACTCCATACTGCAATTGGGACATTCATTGCTGTTAAATTGTAGATGGGAGGCGTGGGCTAAAACACAAGAGGAAAGCAATCAGAATTTTCATAAGTAAATGCACTTTAAACTCAATACTTATTCAGAGGGTAAATCAGATATCACTTAAAAAATTGAGATATAATTTATATATGACATTATATTTGTTGCAGGTGCACAACAATGATTCCACACATGTATACATTGTGAAATGATGACAACAAAAAATCTAGTTAATATCTACCACGGTGTGCAATTTTACATATATATATATAGAGAGAGAGAGAGAGAAAGAGAGAGAGAAAGAGAGAGAATTTTTAAGATTTAATGTCTTTTAAGTTTCAAATGTACAGTACAGTATTAGTAACTATAGTCTCCACACTGTAATTGCGTCTCTAGGTCTTACTTATTTTATGACTGGAAGTTCATACCTTTTGACCACCTTAATCCATTTTGCCCATGCCTCTAGCAACCACCAATCTGTTTTCTCTATTAGTTCCAGTTTTTTTATGTTTTAGATTTCACATTTAAGTGAGATCATATAATATTTGTGTATGAATAACTTATTTCATTTAGCATAATATTGTCAAGGTCCATCCTTGTTGTTATAAGTGGCATAACCCAGTTTCATAATTAAATCTTAAGAATTTAAAGACTCTAAAGGTATAAGCGTCTCAAAATGACCTAAGTCATTTATTTTTACTTTGTCTGACTTCCCAGTATAGTCATTGGAAAGGTAGTCAGTTGGTTAAATGAGTTGTATTTTAAATACTTGCCTGATTTTTTTACTAAATATAGGTTCAAATTCTTACAAAATCTATCAGTAGCCCCATTTCAATAAAATCACCATTCACACAGATTTTAAAGACATTCATAAAGCAGACCAATGGGACAAGAAAATCACAACTAATTCTCCCTCTGTTCACAGAAACTTTGTTAGTTTTTAAAGACAATATTCTCAAGAATTCTGATTCAATACATTAAAATTTTTTCACCCTTATGTAATAGCCAATTCACAAAGAAATGTTTTATTATATGTACTTTTTTCATAGTATTTTAATACTTTATTGTGCTCCTTTATATGTTAGACAGAAGGGGAAAGTGTGGAAAATATCCATGAGAATAAACCCACTTTTCTTCACTCATATGCCAGTGTTAGAAGTGTTTTCCAGAACCAGCTTCTGGATCATAAATTATCATCACTTCCCCAGTTAGCTGAAACCATCCTGAGTTGTGTTTGGCTTGGTTGCAGGGAGCATGGAGTTGGGAGTGGGTGTTTACCCCCTTCCCCGCCCAGGATGGAGTCTCTGGTTACTAGTGTTAAGAGCCCAGGACAAAGGCAGCATCTGAGGTGCTGATGGCTCCCGATTCTTCCCCTGGGCCCTCATGCTCCAGTGTCTGTGCTCATTCAAGCTGCCCTCAAGGTACCACACGACTGCAATAAGAAACTTCCAGAACTTATCACCCCTCGTGGCATTAGACAGACTTGTGAGGTCTGGACAGCAACCTGACTTCGGAAAATACATATAAAGTTATCTCAATTTCATCTTTAACCTTTTATATCTTTGTCTTTCAAAATGTGAATAACTGCTACTTAAGATGCTTACCTGATGATAATGCATTAGGTTCTGAAATGGGGCTCCCCAGTCAAAAGCTTGGAATTTCCCAGACTTGACAGCCTAATGGAGAGAAATAAAAACTCTAAGAAATTCTAAAAAATTACTTGGCTATATGAATAATAACATACCAACATTTCCAAGTAATTTATTTTAAATTTAAATATTAATTTTTTTCTCATTCCAAGAATAAAGACTGTTAATCCTTCAGAACAATTTATTCAAGTTTAAATGCAGCTCTGCTTGAAATAATTTTTCTTCCCAAGCAGGAGACACAAGACACAGGTTCAATCCCTGGGTCAGGAAGATCCCCTGGGATACAAAGTGGCAACCCACTCCAGTATTCTTGCCTGGGAGATTCTATGGACAGAGGAACCTGGTGGGCTACAGTTCATGGGACTGCAAAGAACTGGACATCACTGAGCACAGTCCTACTTTACATATGTTAGCTCATTTGATCTTCACAATGACTCATTCCATGGATAAGGAATCAAAATGAAGGAGTTCAAGTGTGTTGCAAAAGTAGGAGCTGAATTATGCTTTTAATTTGAATCCATATTTTTAACTTCTTTTCAATACTGCATTATGTTGTATGTGTTTTTAAACATCCACTTGGTGCAAAGCAAATGAAATAGAAGGTAAAGAGTATGGACAAGATCTTACATAAAGAGTTGCTCTGAAAGAAGTTTTAGAAAGTTTATAGGGTTGACTATCAGTATTAAAATGTTTTAAATAATATTTATAACTAGACATATTTTTCCTAGAGAGGAACCTGACAACATGGTTCAATACCTCACCTCACAGAATTTAAATGTCACAGCAATTTTCAGGTGATCAGAAGTGAGTAGCGAGTTTTCTGGTTTTTATTCTACAAGCTGTTTACTTCAGGGCACAAGAGGTGATGGAAGTAACCTGGAGGCTACAAAACTAGGAGCCATGATTTGTGATTTCTCTTGGTCTTATCTGCATATTGAACAGAATTTTGAAGTGACTCCTGGTTCTAATAAGTACCATTCCTAATTAATGATAAGACAAGGACTCAAGAGGGTTGCTCAAAATAATCAGAATAGAAATTTCAGGGCATATAAACCATGTTAAGGTTTTTAATGTCAACTCCAGTAATGGCAAAGAAGGCTTTCTTACAAAGGACATCCAGTGTCTCATGGGAGCACACTTCAACACCAAGAAATTGTTCCAAAAATTTGTATGGGTAGAACATTTTGTTACCAAATATAATCTGAAAAATAAAAGCATCATTATAGATTTTCAAATAACAAGCTGCAGAAGAGACTTCTTAGGTTGTCTAGTTCACTGACAGAAATAGACATTAATGTCTATTTCAATATTTCTATATGTTGTCTTAGGAAACTCTCATTGAATCCCCATGATAAAGATGTAGAATGGACGGGGCAGATATGAATACTGGGTATTTATTGTTGCACTGAGAACTGTACTGGCTGATGAAAAGTGTAATGCATAAAGAGGTATAGTCTAGTTGGGGTAATAGGAGCTACAGGATTAAATCATAAAATAACATTGTAGAATATCAAAACTAAGTTCCAAGATGTGTGATTTCAGCAATAAATGACAAAAAATCAGCAGTGAAAAGGATGACCTCAAGCCATATTTTCATCAAAACATTTAAAAAGACAAAGAGGTTTGGTAGCTTAATAATTGAAAGGACTCACCCTCATTGTTCTTGAGAAAAGTTGATGCTTTGCTACCCCCATTTTATTTATTTTGTACTGAAGTATAGTTGACTTACATTATTAGTTTCAGTTATATGATTTAGTGACTCCATATTTTCAAAATTACACACACAAAGTTTCAAAATAATACACATACAAAGCTACTATAAAGTATTGACTGCTTTCTCTCTGAGCATTATATCCATGTGACTTATTTAATTATTACTGGTAGTTCATACTCTGTCATCCCCATTTTAAACAGGAGAACAGAAGGCTAAAAAATAGTCAGGGTCTTGGTCTAGTGAGAACTGGATTGCAGCTAGAATCCTGATTCAAGCCTCAAGGTTCTGACTTATGGTCTAATATTTTCTTTTTTTAAACCCTTCTCTACACTGCCTGTCAGAAATTCTGAGTACAAGTAAAAAGTAAACATGTTCTGAATCAGCGCAACCAGTGAATATATTCAGGGCCATCACACAATTTTACATTTTGAGTAAAGGTTTTACAAATAATGTTGCAGTTAAAAATCTCTTAGGTTTTAGACGCCTGTGTTAGTTTAGTGAGAAAAAAATGAACAGCACACACCTGAGTGAAAAGAAAAAAAAAAAATGAATAGCACACAACCATGGAAGAAAAATGGCATCATTAAATTTTGTAGCCTGAGGCAAACTGTTCTCCTAAAGGAGTGTGTGTGTGTGTGTGTGTGTGTGTGTGTTGGTTTCAGTGAGTGGGAGAAGTTGGTGATTAAACTTTGGATAAAGGAAAGATTATTAAATCCCTAACATATATACCTACATAATATCTACAGTTTATTGAAATCTATTCTACTACCCTATGAAATCCCAGTTTAAAAAGAGAGAAGACTTCTTAGGAATAAGACTTGGAAAACCAAGGGTATTTGATGAGGGATCTCCAAGTTCTTGCTTTATTTCACCACTGCTATCTTACTCTTTCTTTCCTTTTCCTTTCCCTTCCCTTTCTTTCCTGTTCTTCCTCTTCCCGCTTTTCATGGACCGGGTAGTTTAGGTGTCTTATTTGATTTTTTTGTGTTGCTTTTAGCTCCTCTTCCCCAGGCTGAGGGTGGAAACACAGCCTTGAAGGCTTGTGTGGATACTTGGGAAAGAAACACCCACGAAGGAGCAAAAACACTCCCAGGTGTTGCTAGCACACAAAGAAATGGAGAATTTAAAAAGTGGGGATCTCTTCAACTATAATGGGGATTCGAACATGGTCAGTGCTATTCAAGATATAATATAAACACATTCATTTCCATTCTTGGATATAAACATGATGATCCACCAGCTGTTTGTTCTCTTTCTATCACTTTGAAATCCACAAACAATTCAATATCTCAGATCCAGTTAAAGGGAATCACATACCTTGAAGAGGAAGTGAGGAATAAGTGCAAGTTTGTTAAATAGGCTTTGGGTGTACTTCACTGTGGCAACTGGGGCTAATGCATAGAAGACTTTGATTTTTTCAGCCAGTGTGGGATTGGTAGAAAAGGCGATAAAACCTGAAACAGAACAAGGAATATGTGTAAAGGTAGGGATATGTGTGTGTGTGTATGTGTGTGAATGTGTTTTACAAGTATGACATCATTACTTTGGACTCACTAAGGGTGCCATCTGGGACAACGTGAAATCAACAAAATGGTCAGATTTTAGTATATTTTGTTTTCATAGATTCTCGCTGGGGACATGAGGTTTGCTGTTGTTGTTTAGTTGCTAAGTCGAGTCTGACTCTTGCGACCCCATGTGCTGGGCCCGCCCGGCTCCTCTGTCCAAGGGATTTCCCTGGCAAGAATACTGCAGTGGGCTGCCATTTCCTTCTCCATGGGATTTTCCCAACCAGGGATCTGACTCACATCTCCCATTTGGCAGGAAGATTTTTTACCACTGAGCCACCTGGGAAGCCCTGGACATGAGGTTAGAACTTTTCAAAAGTTACGTTTAACTCTTTTATCTGACTTTTGAAACCAGGCCAACTTTAGAATAATCCTGTGGTAATAAAAGTGTTATAATTTATATTACAGCAGGTTTGGTTCAGCTTAAAATGATCTCATCTTATAACAATGAGATAATTAACATTTAACATGAATAAGGTGTATAAGTGGAAAGGTTAAAGCACAAATCTGAAATGTGTTGAAACAGAGTTTGAAACTTAGTTCTGTGGTTTATTAGCTTTGTGACCTTGGAAAAGAGACCTAAACTCTAAAAGTTTTAGTTTCCTCATCTAAAAATAGGTATAATGATGAATACTTCCTTAGGTTGTTTAGGAAATAATTAAGTTGAATCATATAAAATATTTACCAGGAACTAGTCACATAGTAATGCTTAAAAAATGAGTAGCTGAGATAATTCCAATATTTGTATACAATATTCTCAGCCCCATCTGCTTTTAATTGTTTTCATGAACAGTAGCATATCAATAGATGGTTCTAATCAAAGAATTATTAACTAAATTCTTTACAGTTGAATTTCATAGGACAATCTCTCCTTACTGTTAATAATGACATATTGACTAGACTTAAGAGCAGCTTTTGAAACAAAACTTCAGATTTGTGCAAAACTTAAATAAAGCAAAAAAAAAAAAACCCAATAAACAAAAAACTTTCTGGGTTATGCAACTCAGTAATATCCAGCCTGATCGCACTAGGAGAAGAACATTCTTTCCAACAGCACTCTGTTTGTTAAGGAGTTCTTTATCTGGCTTCCTAACTCTGAAGATAAGAGCCAGCGGGTCACCCAGAGTAAGCAGGAATCATTCGCGAGGAGAGTCAGTCTCCTCCCGCTAGAGTGTTAGCAGTAGCACTACTGACAGAGTGGGGGTCAGTGGGTCCATCGAGGGTCAGGAAAGGCAACTCCTCAAAAGAAGCTTAATCCCATTTTAGATGCAATTCTATCAAGGATACTTAACTAAACTTCATGTACACAGCATGACTGGTAGATGTAAATTAGAAGGCAGAACAAACAACTTCCTGAAATTTATGAGTGTGGTGACACAATGACAAACTGTCCACTGGTCAGTAAGAAGAGTGGAAATGTTCAAAATTTAAATACTCAAAAGAGCAGTAGGTTGGACTTATTTTCTATCAGGACATGCGGTTCTATTTACCTCAATAAATCTTAAGNCCTCTGCTGTTCCCCAGCCACACATCATAACCAGCATCTGCCAGCAGGAAGCCCAGGCTGTTGTGGGGCAGGTTGGAAATCCAGTTTGTGGCTGATCCAAGAAGACCATGCTGCAGAAACACAACAGGTCTCTGACCTAGAGAAGATAATTATTATAAACTCACTACTTATTCTCAGATAAACATGAATAGAGGAAAACTAGAATTAAATAGGAAAAGGCAATGGCACCCCACTCCAGTACTCTTGCCTGGAAAATCCCATGGACGGAGGAGCCTGGTAGGTGACAGTCTATGCGGTCACTAAGAGTCAGAAACGACTGAGCGACTTCACTATCACTTTTCACTTTCACGCATTGGAGAAGGAAATGGCAACCCACTCCACTATTCTTGCCTGGAGAATCCCAGGGATGGGGGAGCCTGGTGGGCTGCTGTCTATGGGGTTGCACAGAGTTGGACACGACTGAAGCGACTTAGCAGCAGCAGCAGCAGAATTAAATAAGTTTGCTTGGTGAGGCTAATATTTTAAAAATTGTTATCTTAATTGCCATGATAGTTTCTCAGATGACAATGTGTTTACCTGTATACTTTAAATTGTGTGCAGTGGGTTGTATGCCAATTAAACTCAAAAAGCTATTGAAAAATTATATCATAAGGAAATCAGCATAATGCTAATTAAGTGGGTCTGCTATTCAGGGACTCTGAGTTCCCACCCAGCACAACAAACTAAAAACATGGACCAGTGTGCACATCATTGAAGCCAATGTAAATCTGGTGTCACTCAGACCCTCAGCTTAATCTCAGAAATCCAAGGTGGTTCCAGGATTTTTCTTTCCCTGTGAGTAGCTTAATCTCATGTTCTATAATTAGAATACATTTGACTGGGACGTATTTGATTCAAGATTCGAGACACTCATCTTTTTCCCTCATTCCAGTCCCCCCTAAGCTTCCCTGGTGAGTCAGTGGTAAAGAATCTTCCTGCCAACACAGGAGGTGTGGGTTCGGTTCCTGGGTGGGGAAGATCCCCTGGAGAAGGAAGTGGCAACCCACTTCAGTATTCTTGCCAGGATACTCCATGGACGGAGGACCTGGGCAGGCTACAGTCCATGGGATTGCAAAAGAGTGGAGCGCAACTTAGTGACTGAACAACGACCAGTCCTACCTAAACGATTAGCATCATTCTTTCCATGAGGAATCCGATAGACCTGAAGGATATAGCCATCCGAAGTTATAACTTTATGCATCTCACTTGGGTAGCCCCAGTAGGAAATCATCTGACTCTGAATGGAGGAAAAAAAAAATTAGCTTCATGAGTTTACTGGGCCAGTTTTATGAATCCTATTGTAAAACTTCTTATTGATTGCTAACATATATTTTGTGAAGAAATATTTCAAGCTTTATAATAAAATGTATTTTAAAAGAATTAATGAGAGCAAATAGCATCAATATCTTTGGAAGTGTTATTTTTAAAATATTAGTGATATGAATAACTTACAACATTCATACTGGCTTCAGGGTTCTCAGCAATTTTTCCAAGTAAACAAAATGCATTTCCAGACATGTGGATGAAACACATTGTTACAAGTAGCCACCACATTTTCAACCTATTAGGGGAAAAAAACTTATTGCATCATGTGGTAAATATTACAATATAACATGAAGTCATGATATTGAGCTGCCTTGCTCTTTTCTTCACATATTTTTCACTTACTACCTTATCTGTCATATCGTTCTCCTGTTTCTCATCACTTTGTCAGAAGATTTTTATAGTACTTTGGCTATTCTGGTAAGTTATTCAGTTTTGTACATGATTCTAGTTTTCCAAATGACATTTTATCAGCCTACTCTTGTAGATATTTGGTATTTACCGTCTGTTATGGTTTGAGTTGGTCTCCCACTGACACCCCAAACATAGATATATTGAAGTCCTCAATACCTCTGAATGTCACTGCATTTGGAAGTAGAGTTATTACAGATGAAATTTAAGTTAAGATGAGGCCATCCAGGAGTAGGGTGAACACTTAATCCTGTATGAATGGTCTTCTAAGAAGATGGCCATGTGAAGGCAGAGAGAATGGAAGCCAAGGGGCAAAAGAGATTACTGGCAAACTACCAAAACCTAGGAAGAGACATTGAAAGATTTCTTTCTATGTTCTGGAGGGAGCATAGCCCTTCAAACTCCTTTACTTTGGGTTTACAGATTCCACAAATGTAAACCCACTTGTGGTACTTTGCTCCAGCTGCCCTAAGAAAATGATACATCATCTGTCAGAAAAGGGAGAGAAAGGTAACACGCAGAATGGTTGTCTTTCTTGAAACTGTGAATAAAACAAGGAAGTCTGTCTGTTTTGTATGTGAAAACTTGCTTTAATCCCCTCAAAATGGCAGAACAAATGTTACTCAAACATTGGCAATACAGATAAATCTTTATATTATCATTTTAAAATATCTGGATTCAAAGACGACCCACTGAATAACTCTTTTGTTCATCCGCTGTGCCTCACATGATAAATATGACAATCAATAACCACTGCTCTATTTTTAACTTCAGGTGTCCTGATTCCTCTCCATTCCTATTGCAAAGATCGCCATCAACTCTTCCCCTTTCCTAATAAATACTTTTCCCAAGGGATGCCTGAGCTAACATAACCCTGCTGCCACCCCTACCTTGCAAATGCTCCATTGTGTTCCATTTGCAACCATGTAATTTTTTCAGTTTCAGACTTAAAATTTTCCCCTACGCTCTGTTCAAATACATCATATCCAAATATGGCTGTAGTTTCCACAGCTGCAGTCTTCTGCTCTAAACTTGACATGATCATTTGACAAAAAAACAAACAATAGTAGCCCAAGGAATACATGAAGGAATGGCATGTTCGCTGCCTTCAAGGAATGTACAAGCTAGTGATAGTCCAGTGGTACCAACTCTTTCTGCTTGCTCTCTTGCCTGTACCATCCATGCATTTCTCAGTCCCTTTCACTTTAGGTCGACTTGGGGCTTGCTTGCTTGCTCTTAAAATCCCAAAGGTAAGCTAAGGCTTTAGACTTAGTCAAACAAAAGGATGGCTGGGTAACAAGCTACAGAGCATCCTGTTCAAACCTTGGCTCCATAAGCATTTGTTGCTCAATAAATGAAAATTAATCATGCTATTAGCAGTACTTTTCAAACCTAACTCTTTGTTAGCTCCATAAGTGATTTCTAATAAGTGGGCTTCCCTTGTGGCTCTGCTAGTAAAGATTCTGCCTGCAATGGGGGAGATCTGGGTTCAATCCCTGGGTTGGGAAGATCTCCTGGAGAAGGGAAAGGCTACCCATTCCAGTATTCTGGCCTGAAGAGTTCCATGGACTGTATAGTCCATGGGGTCACAAAGAATCAGACACAACTC